AGCAACGAAGACCCAAAGCAGCCAAAAATAAATAAATAAAATAAATAAATTTATAAGAAGTCAAAAGAAATGTACAACTGTAGACAGTCCAGATGAAATTCTAGGTCCACACTTTCTTCTACCTGACTTTAATTTTGGTCTGAGTCCCAAAATCATTGCCAGAAATGCTTTGAGTCACAAGGAATTGTTGTTCTTTATACTGGTACCTGCTTTTGGCTCATTTCCAAATTTTAGATTCCACGTAGTACTCTGACCTCATTGCATGTAATTTTATTTCTGACTTCAGCATATATTCAACACACACACACACACACACACACACACACACACTGCACATTTAAAGAGGAGAAGTGACATTACAGATAAAATGGTGGGGAGGTGGTAGGCAAGAAGGGCTGCCCTCTCTGTCTTCAACTATGTTTTCCTTTCTGGACCACTGGCCCTCATTACCTTTTCCAGTAGGTACGTGTGAAAAGTGGTGGTGGTGGTGGGGGGGGTGGATCAAGCCTTAGAATATTATAGAAGTACATCTCAAGAGTCAGATGTTAGAGATTAAATTTTTTTTTTTTTAAATTCCTCTAGCTTCCCTCCGAGCTAGGAAAGAGCACAATGGCTATAATTAGAACACAATAATGGGTTGGAGAGATGGGAGAAAGGCAGCAAAGAGATTGATTGTATTGGTGAAGTGTGTCCCTGCTGAATGAATGTGGGCAACCGATCACAAATATCCCAGAAGGAGGATGGCGAAATGTGGATCTCCTTATGCCAAGGGCAGTTCTAAATGTGTATCCAGAGCGGGGTGTGTGTGTGTGTGTGTGTGTGTGTGTGTGTGTGTGTGTGTATGTGTCTTTGTCTTTGGATACATACGCTACAGTCCTTTATCTGTAATAAGAAAGCTGTCTGTCTGTAAAGTACATGATGATAATAATCCCTTCTAGGCATCTGTGACTTTTGATTCCCTTTCCACCTGTAGTCAGAAGTTGTAATTTATTATCTTGCAGGCCTTTTTGGACTCTCAGGGAGTTCAAAGTCATTTGACATTAGCTGCTTCTTTGAAATTAGTACATGTAACTATAAAATGAGGCACAAACCTTAAGTTCTAGACATATATCCATGTGGCATATAATTAAAGTGTGTGTAATAGAAATACTACATTTCAATAGCAATATTTTTATTACAAAGAATAACTTAGAAATTATTGCCAAAATCTAAATTGCACACAATCATTTCAAAAAATCCAGGAGGTTCTACTTATAATGTTTTTGGACACTAAATTTAAACAAACTTTATGCCTTAGAGTTCCTTGAGTTTTGTCTTAACTCTCAGAATTTCCTATAATGCAACCAACCAGAAAGTCTTTAAAATGGCAGAAAAATCTTTATTTCCTTCCCCAAAATATTTCATACAATTGATAATAAAAGTTGTATGTTAAGTTATTCTCAAGTGCTAGTGTTTTCAAATTATGTTCTAAATTTTTAAGAATTACCAGTTTTCCATGAACTGTTTTCCCTTCCACCTTTTCCCCACTTATTTATTCAATAGTTTCAAGATTTTAAATGATTATTTCATCAAGTAAAGTCAACCTTAGAAATTTTAATAATTTATTGTATCACTCTTCACCTTAAGCAATTGTTTAGAATTGTTGTTGATCTCGACTGTATCTATTTACATATTATCCAGGAAAAGGTCATGGTTCTGTGTTCCCTTTTGGAATTAGGAGGCTTATAGAACAAGAGGAGATAATGTAGACCAGGGACAAACTGCTCTACTAATGAAAGATTTCTTCTTTTATCATAATTCTTAAGATGACATAATAAATAAAGGTTAAATTGGTTTTTACCTACATTTTTTATGCCTATTATCAAAATTTCTGGGTGAAATATGGTAATTGGTATCTAAATAAGAGAACTAGAAATGGATGAAATATCATTGCTACTGATTTATTACATGCTCAAGGTACAGATCACAGTTTAATTTTATAAAGGCACATCCATAACTCCTCTTTTTCCTTTGTATCTTTTATGTATGTGTTACAGTTCCTTGAACAAAAGTTCTCTAACTCCACTTATACCAGTTGAGAGAGTATAACTTACATATGCTTCTTTTCCCCCCTTGCTCCAGAAAAATCTCTGGAATTGCCCCAGAATTAGAAAAGCCTAGATTAGAATTCCTTGTAAACCTAGAGTAGAATGTGCATGCTTCTGCAAATGTATTTGGTAGAGATATGTCAGGTTCTGGGACATCCTATTTGCCTGAGTATTGATAAGATAACCTTGCTCTGCCCAGGAGCTCAGACTTCAAACAATTCCAGTGCTCCAGGCACCTGCCAAACACCCTTTCCTCCTCTAAACAGAAAAGCTTTCTCTTTAATTCACAGTGAGTAATAGGCTTCCCAGTCTATTACAGAGTCAGAGAAGCAAACAAAAATCAGGGAGGTAAGCATATTGATAGTTGAAATATCTGTTGGCCTAACAAAAAGGAAGAAGACGTGAAAGATAAAATTGTGGATGTATGTAGTACCTCAGTGTCATTTAAAGTAAGATTAAATTTATCCACTGGAAAATAATTTTTAGTGAATAAGTAGGGAATTTCACTTATCGGAAAAAAGATGTAAGTGTGGAAAACATCTTTCAAAGAAATGAAGTATTATTTTCCCCATAGTATCACAAAATAGGTGCAGTTGTCAACTTTGTTTCTGCCAAGACTTGGATAGGATATAAAGCATTTGGGAAGGGGTATAGGCATAATTTTGAGTATATGGAACACATTTTTAAAATCGAAAGATAACGTGGAATCTGGAACGTTATGGACGTTAATGGAACAGATTCATGCATATTTAAGTCTCAATTACCTACATATGAATTAACTGCTTTGCTAAAAATAAAATATTTCTTATTCTAGGTTGGCATTCTCCTGATAGCCTATCTGTTTCTAGGCCACTTCTTTTTCATGGGTTATTGAATGAGCAGAGAATATAGAAGCTAATGGCTACTCTAAGAATGAGGTGCAAGTATAAATAACAAATATATAAGTAAGGGAGATGAATTTTAGCCTTGGCGTACGTATATAAAAATTAGAAAAATATATCTTCTTTGGGGGAAATTATTTTAAAATAAATGGGAAACTGAGTTTAAAAATTATGTTTGTGAATATTTTTATTTCATGCAGAAAAAGCAGAGCTTAGAATAGTTGGTAAAATGACCCAAATTCTGATCATTAATTATAAATGTCAGAATACCACCTTGTGTTTATATAGCACCTGTTTCTTAGTAGGTGAGAGAACAATGACGCAGGATTTTTTGTTTTTATTTATTTTTGTTTTGTGTTTGACTTTTATTTTGTTACATTAATCAATACATGTTATACAACTGTGTATTTGCAAAGATGCTGGTCTCATCTGTATTTTACCAATTTGAGAATATATATAGAAAGCTAAATGAATTCTACTGGCTTAGAAATGACTAGTTTTCTCCAACATTGGTTGTTAGAGCTGCTGTTTTTATTTTTGCACCATCAGGTTTTTCCATGTTTTTTTTTTCTTGTCAGTAATCATTTTCTTCTTCTTTTTAAATTTTTAATCAACTAGTCATAAGGCAGAGAAGAAAAATAGTCTCAATATTTTCATTGGACTTTTTTTCTACACAAATAAAACTCCTGAGTATCACTAATTACAAAGTAGCCTCTCTAATTGACTAGTTCTGCTTTTGAGACTCTGCAATTGCTGCGGTAACAATTTGCCACCAACTTGGAACTCCTGGTTTTGTTTTGCTGTGGAGAACAGCTTACTAAACCATATTTTTCAGTATTTTCAGGCTCGTTTACAAAGCCAGTGTCTTTCCGGGAACTCTGAAAGTAAGGATTTTGTCTTCAGTCTACCGATTCATTGGACAGACCAGTGTTGCAGAGTCTGTTTTGTTTATTAAATTTGCTTTGCAAAGAGTCTCTTAAAATATATTGGATTCTTCCAAACCCCATTCAACCAGCAGCAAGCCTCCCTCCACCCTGATTTTTTTAACCCAGCTTGTATTTTATCAGCATCATCATATAAATATTTGCTTATCATGATCCTTATAAGCAACATATATGAAAAATGAATAGAAAAGAAAGATAAGTTTATTTTCATGGTTTGCTATTGTTAATAATCGTATTTAATTTTTTTTAGCATGCAAGCAGTTTGTTGAATTAAGCTTTACAGTGATTTATACTGATACTGAGTGCCACTGCCATGTGAAAGTTTTAGTAAACTACAAGTTTGTCTAATACAGAGTTTTTAAACTGCATTTTGATTTAAAGAAATTCAGTTGAGCACAAAGTTTGACTAATTTTACAATTTATAAAATAAATAGAGAAATAACTTTAATGCAGTTTATTACTAGTAGTTCGAAAGCCACTAGTTAACAGCATCTGCCTTTATTTTTATTATGTGAGCTGTTGTGTACATAACATTATTCAATATGATAACATCTTCACTATTCTATTCTAGTTTCTATCTATTTGTTACTTTTCAAAGGTCCTGGAAAAATAAATTATTATGTTTGCTTTGTAATAATGCAATAAATCTGTTTTTAGATTATGATCAACCTTTTTTAGCTTTAACAAACTCCGTAAGAATTGCCTACTTATTTGCTTTGGGAGGAAAAAACATCTGGCGTGTAGTGCATTATCATTTAGTGATTTATGTCAAGCAGTAGCACATATACACTTAGTTCCACAGTTTGTGTTAACAGCCATTGTTGGACCAGGCATTTCTCCAAAGCTCATGAGTTAGGGACTGGTAATTATAGTAAGTCGTGTATTATAAATAATGCATGTATGTTCCGCATGAGCTATGTGGGATTTCGGCCCATTTGCTAGAACATAGCTGCATAATGATTTGTTTGGATTTTGTTGCAGATGATTGATAGTGCAGAATGTTGGCAATGATGTAAATTACTGTTGGGCTGCCTTGCAAATTTCAGTACAAGTGGTGATTTCTTCTCTTTTTCTGTGTGCTTGTCTAGTCTCGGCAGACACCTGAGGGTGAGTTCCTTCCCCTTGATCAACTTGAACTGGATGTAGGTTTTAGTACAGGGGCAGATCAACTTTTTCTTGTTTCCCCCCTCACGATTTGCCACGTGATTGATGCCAAAAGCCCCTTTTATGACCTATCCCAGCGAAGCATGCAAACTGAACAGTTCGAGATTGTCGTCATCCTAGAAGGCATTGTGGAAACAACTGGTGAGTAAAAACATAGATATATCATGACGTTTCTTTATTCCATAATAACATTATATTATATGCACAATACCTATCATGGTTTGGGCTAAACGTCTCAGCTCGCAATAATGAAAGTAATGACTTGTCTGTTATTTCTTTGTAACATTAAGTTGATACTGCTTTGAAAATGAAGATTTACTGTTGTGATGATTGCATTTGTAATGTTAACTCAGAAATACTTACTGCAAAAAAAGAAAGAAAAGGAAACTGAGATGACTCCTAGAAATGATTATGATGTTCTAGTTTAACTGCAGACTTGGATTTCCTATAATCATATATTTTTTAGAAGATTTAAGGTTAAAATAAATTCAGGGTAATTAGTGAGCAACCTGAACTCAGCATGCGTATTCTTGCCTTAGGGATGGTGATTCGGGTGTCATTGACAGAGCTTTAATATGCTACTATATGCAACCTCAGTGGAAAATTCCGTGTGTGTGTGTGTGTGTGCGCGCGCGCCCGCGGGTGGGCGCGAACCACACTAAAGTAACATTTTAATTTCAAAGTGGGTCAGTAGATTTCCCCAGCTGAACCTTGACCAAAAATTTTTTGAAAAGAAATTTTCCTTTTCGGCTTTGGTATAGCTATGTGCTGTATGTTACTTCTTAAGATGTGATATAGCGTTGCTATGCTGCAATACCCACAGTTTGCTACTGTCTGAGGAGAATAAGGTTGGCAAAGGAAAGAAACAATAAATCAGAGTATATTATTTGGGGCCTAAGCATTGCCAGTTGGTTTGGAACCTGCTGGATGCTTGAGACTAATAATGGAATATTTACATAATTATATCTATCTATCTTGAGTTTTACCCTTGCTACAAGTAGTGAGAGAGCAAGAAATAATTTAGCTTTTAATTTTTTTCTACCAATATCATTCTAATAATCTTAAAGTGCTAGTTATTATGTATAAACTATAGCATTGAAAGTAACATCGGCAATAGCATGGATACATTCAAGCCTTATATCAAGGTGGGAGACATTACATAATGAAAGAATCTCCCATCTTGATATAAAGCTTTGTCCAAGGGGCAGGGGGAGGCAAGCCACTGTAATCTTATACATCTGTTACATAACACCGATTTGAAATTTGGGCAAGATACTTAATCTCCATAAACTTTTTTTCTCATCTCTCTAAAAGGAGAATGATATAATAATCACTTTGAAGCGACCTGTTGTATTACTATTATTTTATTATCATTAGTGCTTCAGTTTAAATTTAAGGTTTTTGAGAACAGGGAGTAAAGACTTAATTCATCAATCTATATCTGGGATTTGATTTCTGTGGACAATTTCATGGTTTAAATTCTCCAGTTTTTGAACTTAAAATTGAATTGATGTCATAGTATATTTCTAAAATATCATATATTGATAAATAATGAAACCAATTTATAAAGGCTTCTAGTTCAAGAAATCTTTACATTTAAATTTTAGTTTTTATTTGTCTCGTTTATTGAAGTAAAAATACATTGTTAGAGCTTAAACAGCAGATTTTTTACTGATTTATTTTTAAAGCATATGGTTCTATCTTTGACACAGCTGGTTATAGTTTATTAATTGCTTATTATTATTCTAATCACTGTCATGAGTAAAGTTTCTGTTTCACTTGACAGTCTTAGAAATCTTTCACTAGTTCTATCTATCTATCTATCTATCCATCCATCCATCCATCCAACCATTTTTCCTACTTATCTCTGGTTAGTGTGTATTTCTTAAGAATGAGAAAATTTTTCTACAAAATCACAGTGCAATTAAGAAAAAAATCAGGATATTAAACAATGATACAGTACTATTATTTAGCTCATAGTCTACCTTCTCATTTTATCAGTTGTCCTAGTAGTTTCCATCATAGCCCTTTTTCCCTGGCTCATCAATTTAAGGATTATGCCCTCATTTGTTTACTTGTATTCTCAGTAATTTCCATCATAGCCCTTTTTTCCTGGTTCAACATCAGTTTTAGGATTATGCCCTCATTTGTTTACTTGTCTTCTCAGTCTCATGATGAAATAGTTCCTCAACCTTACTTTGTGTTCTTGACCTTGATGTACTTGAAGAGTACAGGCCAGGTATTTTGTAGAATGTCTCTCAATTTGGATTTGTCTGAGGCTTCCTTATTCATTATATATTTTGTTGATTTTTGACTTCTACATAGGCATCTTAAGGGAATATTGAATCAGGTTGTTTTTAAAATACACCTATGTATTCTTGACTTAATTGATGTGTCTTCATCAGATTTCAGAGGATCATGGTTAGTAAATGATATTCTACATAAAGTCATTTGGAGTTTCGTAACATTAAATTATTCATTAGGACTGTAGATTTCATTTTACCATTTTCTGCCCTCTCCCTTTTTTTTTTTTTTTTTTTTAATTATGAACTGGCAGAGACTACTTTCCACAGAAAATGTGAAAACTTGACTGGAGACTGAATTTCTTATTTAGAGATTGCCTTTTATGGAGAAAAGATTAAAGCCTGCCTCCTCTTAACCTCTTAACTAAGCCTGTTTTCTAGATTTAGTATAGCAAGAATAACAGCAAAAACATTATGAATAATTTTTAGAATTTATTTTGTGGAAAATGTATCTGACATTTTGTTTGTGTATATGCCCTAACTGATTAAATCACACATTATTCAAACTCTGAAAAATCTGTCTATATTTTCAGACCTCCCTGAGTCTGGTAAAAATAACATAAACATTCTTATGTCCATATGATCATTTAAAGTTATACTGAGATTTATTTAGATTCATTTTTCAGGATGTTTCCTCCTTTATCCTCCCATTCACAATACTTTCTCACAATATTTATTGCTTGGAATAAGACAAATATGATCTTTTGTGATGTTTTGAGACATCAATAATACTATTTTGGCTCCAGTGTTTTTTGTTATACAGGCTTGTGACTAAATGTTAACAATGTAACTTTCCATCATATTTAACATTAAAACACCAAGTTTTTAAATCATTCATTCATTCACTAGACAAATAACTGAATGTATGCTGTGTGCTTGGAAATATTTGAAATACTGGCAATATAGTGGTGACCAAGACAGGCAGAATCCCTTTCCTTATGAAAGTTATATTCTAACTGGAGGAGGAAGACTGCGAAACAAAACAAAAAAATAAATAAGCAAGGTATTATCACATAGTAATGTGTCAGGAATAAAAACCAAAACAAAACAAGGTTATGGAAAAAAGAGTGCATCCCAGGGTTAGGTTGACGGTTAGGAAAGGTCTCTCTGAGAAGGTGACACCTAAGCAGAGACCTGCCTGTCAAGAAGGACCTCCTGGGCCTGTCTGGAGGGAGAACACAGCAGAGGCTGAGAAACAGCTGGTACAAGGGTCCTGAGTCAGGAACCAGCCTGATTGATTCCAGGAACTAAAAGAAGGTGGTGGTGGTTAGAGCAGAGTGAACAATGTGGAGAGTGGGGTGAGGAGAAGTCTGAGAGGTCGGGGGTGGGGTGTGGGTGCACCTCTGCACTACAGATGATTGCATCGCGTCAACAGCGAGTGCTGGGATTCGATTCAAAAGCAAAGCCTGCATTTAAATGCTAGAGTAATAATTTAGTAATCTCAGACTCTATATAACAAAATAAAACACACATTTTTTTCCCCTAGTGGATTGCATGTAGTTTATTTAAAACCCAGTGACCCCAATGCCTAGGGAATGCATAAAACTTTAGACCGTTACCACTTTTCCGTTATTAACAGTACTACCTACACAGTCCCCAGCCCCCAAGACAGGCACATAATTGCTCACTTTGCTGCGGTCCTCTGATGAGAATCTTCTGATCTCATTTAGTTTTTGCTTCTTCCCTTCCTGTAGTCTCAGCAGGAGTGGTAGTGGTGGTGAGGAGAGAGATGAAAAATTAGAAGATTTCTCATTTCCTTGAAAGTTTCAGCTTCCAGCTCAGGACTCACAATAATTACTTTCCCCACTTCCTTGGAAATACTCCTCAGTGATCACGTTCAGGGATTGTTGCCTTCTTTGCTTCCAATGAGTTGGACTTTCACTTCCAACAAGGAACACAACATTTGCCTCTTCATGAATAACCTTTGCTTCTCGGCTCACGTAGCAAATTTCTAAACATAGGTTACCTCTAACTGTTGCTCTCTTTGCTGATTCTCCCGGGAGGGAGAACACTGCTAGAGGCAAACAGCATTGCAGATTTGGCTCATTAGAACCCGATGCTTTCAAACTTCAATCTGCTCTCTGCTGCTATTTGGCAGTCTTCTTAATTGTCTTTTCTGCACTCCCAGGCTCTCTCCCCATGGGATCTATTTTAGACCTTTTCTCTCCTTCCATGCCCCCAGTCCCAGCTGTCCTATCCCTTCCTAGGCCTACTGCTCTCCACCTAGTTTATCGAAAAGAATGTGACACTTCAATTTGTATACATTTTTTTTACTCTCCTTATCCTTTTCTCATGGTTATATCCCCTTTTTCTTTGCTGGTGTCTGTGAGGAAAATGTCTTTATTCTTCTCCAAATGCACCTGCTTTATCGTCATGTTTATTACCTGTGACTCAAGCGCCAATACTTACTATACCTAATACCTAAAATCTCTTTGACTCTCTTTGTTCTCAAACGTGTCCAGGTCTTTCTTCATGAAAAACGTAATCCGGTTATTTATTCCTTTATACTCAAGGTTCATTCTGGGATTCAGAGACACCACATTTTCCCTCTCCCTCTTTTTCTGTTTCTTCTAATTTTTATTTTCCAGGTGTTCCTTATACCCTGCATGGCTCCCTCTTCTTATAAATTTTTCCTGGATCTCTGCCCTTGACTTCTTTCTTCTTGAATCTAGATACTCGATTTTAAAAAATGAACCCACAAAGTATGCACAAGTTCATTATTTCTTTTATCTCAAGCTATGAAATCTCTCACCTGCTGTGGCTTTATATATGCCATCAATTTCCAGGACATTTGTCCACTCGGATGTCACTATTTTAATTCAGAGTCAACTTGTGTAA